GGGGTGGGGGCAGCTATAACTACATGTCATTCATCCATAATGGCATCAAGCTACCCAGTTGTTTGTTTTTCTCAAAGAGTACACAGGGCCCCAATTTCAGAGGTAGGCCACCGGACCAAACTGAGTTTTAAACTCAGCAAATCTGTCGCAATGAATAGACAACTTAACCAGAGGAAATGAAGTTGATGGTGAATGAATGGCTGAAGTAGTGACTTACATAAGGATATAAGAATGAGAACCTCTAAGGGGGATCAGAGTGAGTCAAAGAGGGTAGGAAGAGGGTGGGAGATGTGAGAGTAGAAGCCTAAGAACAAGAGCTTGTCCAGTCTTCTAATTTCCTCTCTCCAGCTCATCTACACATAAACCACTTTCAGATTAATCCTTAAAAAAAGAAAAAAACCAACAAATAAATGATCTCATACTTCATCTCAAAATCCTTGAAAAAGAAGAGCAAAACAACAGCAAAAGAAGTAGAAGGCAAGAAATAATGAAAATCAGAGCTGAAATTAATGAAATCGAAACAAAAGAAACAATTGAAAAAATTGACAAAACTAAAAGTTGGTTCTTTGAAAAAATAAACAAAATCGACAGACCCTTAGCGATGCTAGCGAAGAGAAGAAGAGAGAGAACTCAAATTACTAGCATACGGGATGAAAAAGGCAATATCACAACAGACACTTCAGAAATACAGAAGATAATCAAAAACTATTTTGAATCCTTATACTCCAATAAATTAGAAGATAGTGAAGGCATAGATAAATTTCTTAAGTCATATGATCTGCCCAGATTGAGTCAGGAGGATATAGAAAACCTAAACAGACCAATATCAATTGAGGAAATAGAAGAAACCATCAAAAGACTACCAACTAAGAAAAGCCCAGGTCCGGATGGGTATACAGCAGAATTTTACAAAACCTTTAAAGAAGAACTAATACCAATACTTTTCAAGCTACTTCAGGAAATAGAAAAGGAGGGAGAACTTCCAAATTCATTCTATGAGGCCAACATCACCCTGATACCTAAACCAGACAAAGACACTTCAAAGAAAGAAAACTACAGACCAATATCTCTAATGAACCTAGATGCAAAAATCCTCAACAAAATTCTGGCGAATCGGATACAAAAACATATCAAAAAAATTGTACACCATGATCAAGTAGGATTCATCCCTGGGATGCAAGGCTGGTTCAATATACGGAAATCAATAAATGTTATTCACCACATCAATAGACTTAAAAATAAGAACCTTGGGCTGGGGATGTGGCTCAAGCGGTAGCGCGCTCGCCTGGCATGCGTGCGGCCCGGGTTCGATCCTCAGCACCACATACAAACAAAGATGTTTGTCCGCCGAAAACTAAAACAATAAATATTAAAAAGTTTAACAAAAAAAAAAAAAAAAAAAAAATAAGAACCATATGATCATCTCCATAGATGCGGAAAAAGCATTCAACAAAGTACAGCATCCCTTTATGTTCAAAACTCTAGAAAAACTAGGGATAACAGGAACATACCTCAATATTGTAAAAGCAATCTATGCTAAGCCTCAGGCTAGCATCATTCTGAATGGAGAAAAACTGAAGGCATTCCCTCTAAAATCTGGAACAAGACAGGGATGCCCTCTCTCTCCACTTCTCTTCAACATAGTTCTCGAAACACTGGCCAGAGCAATTAGACAGACGAAAGAAATTAAAGGCATAAAAATAGGAAAAGAAGAAATTAAATTATCACTATTTGCAGATGATATGATTCTATATCTAGCAGACCCAAAAGGCTCTACAAAGAAACTATTAGAGCTAATAAATGAATTCAGCAAAGTGGCAGGATTTAAAATCAACACGCATAAATCAAAGGCATTCCTGTATATCAGTGACAAATCCTCTGAAATGGAAATGAGGACAACCACTCCATTCAAAATATCTTCAAAAAAAATAACATACTTGGGAATCAACCTAACAAAAGAGGTGAAAGACTTATACAATGAAAACTACAGAACCCTAAAGAGAGAAATAGAAGAAGATCTTAGAAGATGGAAAAATATACCCTGTTCATGGATAGGCAGAACTAACATCATCAAAATGGCGATATTACCAAAAGTTCTCTATAGGTTTAATGCAATGCTAATCAAAATCCCAACGGCATTTCTTGTAGAAATAGAGAAAGCAATCATGAAATTCATATGGAAAAATAAAAGACCCAGAATAGCAAAAACAATGCTAAGCAAGAAGTGTGAATCAGGCGGTATAGCGATACCAGACTTCAAACTATACTACAGAGCAATAGTAACAAAAACAGCATGGTACTGGTACCAAAACAGGCGGGTGGACCAATGGTACAGAATAGAGGACACAGAAACCAATCCACAAAACTACAACTATCTTATATTTGATAAAGGGGCTAAAAGCATGCAATGGAGGAAGGATAGCATCTTCAACAAATGGTGCTGGGAAAACTGGAAATCCATATGCAACAAAATGAAACTGAATCCCTTTCTCTCGCCATGCACAAAAGTGAATTCAAAATGGATCAAGGAGCTTGATATCAAATCAGAGACGCGCCGTCTGATAGAAGAAAAAGTTGGCTACGATCTACAGTCGGTGGGGTCGGGCTCCAAATTCCTCAATAGGACACCCATAGCACAAAAGTTAATAACTAGAATCAACAAATGGGACTTACTCAAACTAAAAAGTTTTTTCTCAGCAAAAGAAACAATAAGAGAGGTAAATAGGGAGCCTACACCCTGGGAACAAATCTTTACTCCTCACACTTCAGATAGAGCCCTAATATCCAGAGTATACAAAGAACTCAAAAAATTAGACAATAAGAGAACAAACAACCCAATCAACAAATGGTCCAAGGACCTGAACAGACACTTCTCAGAGGAGGACATACAGTCAATCAACAAGTACATGAAAAAATGCTCAACATCTCTAGCTGTCAGAGAAATGCAAATCAAAACCACCCTTAGATACCATCTCACTCCAGTAAGATTGGCAGCCATTAGGAAGTCAAACAACAACAAGTGCTGGCGAGGATGTGGGGAAAAGGGTACACTTGTTCATTGCTGGTGGGACTGCAGATTGGTGCAGCCAATTTGGAAAGCAGTATGGAGATTTCTTGGAAAGCTGGGAATGGAGCCACCATTTGACCCAGCTATTCCCCTTCTCGGTCTATTCCCTAAAGACCTAAAAAGAGCATGCTACAGGGACACTGCTACATCGATGTTCATAGCAGCACAGTTCACAATAGCAAGACTGTGGAACCAACCTAGATGCCCTTCAATAGATGAATGGATAAAAAAAAATGTGGCATTTATACACAATGGAGTATTACTCTGCATTAAAAAATGACAAAATCATAGAATTTACAGGGAAATGGATGGCATTAGAGCAGATTATGCTAAGTGAAGCTAGCCAATCCCTAAAAAACAAATGCCAAATGTCTTCTTTGATATAAGGAAAGTAACTAAGAACAGAGTAGGGACGAAGAGCAGGAGAAGAAGATTAACATTTAACAGGGATGAGAGGTGGGAGGGAAAGGGAGAGAGAAGGGAAATTGCACGGTAATGGAAGGAGACCCTCAGGGTTATACAGTGGAGGGGGTAGAGAGAGAGGAGGGGAGGGGAGGGGAGAGGTGGGGAGGGGGGAGGGTGGAGGATGGGAAAGGCAGCGGAGCACAACAGACACTAGTATGGCAATTTGTAAATCAATGGATGTGTAACTGATGTGAATCTGCAATCTGTGTATGGGGTGAAGGTGGGAGTTCATAACCCACTTGAATCAAAGTGTGGAATATGATATGTCAAGAAATTTGTAATGTTTTGAACAACCCACAATAAAAAATTAAAAAAAAAAAAAAATACAGGATGTTCAGTTAAATTTCGAGTCAGATACACAACGAATAATTTTTAATATAAGTATGACTCATGTAAAATCTGTATTTGGCAATCCTATCCTGCACCCCCATTAACACATGTCAGTATCTCATCTGCTCTTGAATGTCACCCTAAAATGTCACCTTCATCATGCAATCTTCCCCAATTTTCTTCATTGAATCAACAAATATTTGCTGAGCCCTAGGATGAAAATTGTGGTCTCTGAGATCTCTAAGGAACTTTGAGGTTACAGAAGTAGAGAGGGAAATAAGTAGAACAGAGAAGTAAGTACAATATGCCTTGTGAGGAAAAGAGGAGACCTTTGCTAGGGATGCTTATGAACACTTGTTGAAAAAGAGGCATTTATAAACTCACAAAGGGAATGGGGATGTGGCTCAATGGTAGAGTGCTTGCCTATCACGTATGAGGCCCTGGGTTCAATCCCCAGCACTGCAAAGCAAACAAACAAAAAATCACAACAGAAGAGCAACTCAAATAATTTGAGTTGTATGAATGAAATTCCTTCAAAAATACACTTTACTAAATACAATTTCTTGGGTTTTTTTTGTTGTTGTTGTTGTTGTTTGATTGGTTGGTTTTAGGTACTGGGGATTGAACCCAGGAGCACTCTACCACTGAACTATATCCCAGGTCCTTTTTTATTTTTGTTTTGAGACACAGTCTTGCTAACAAGTCCAGGCTGGACTTGAACTTGCAATCATCATGTTTCAGCCTCTGGAGTAGCTGGGATTATAGCTGTGCATCACCAAGTGGACTCAATTTCTTTTTTTGTAACAATTTCTGGCTTGATTTAATGAAGATGCCAGTTAGCCAACTTTAAAAAAAAGATGAATATCTTCAATGTAATAGAAATATAACAATGGTCCAATTGAAGCTCATTACTTTGGATAGACTAGATAGATTAAGATAGTATTAGAGGGGGCTGGGGTTGTGGCTCAGTGGTAGAGCACTTGCCTAGCATGTGCAAGGCACTGGGTTCGATTCTCAGCACCACATATAAATAAATGCATAAAATAAAGATTCATCAATATCTAAAAAGAATTTTAAAAAAGAGATAGTATTAGCATGTTCTATATCCTAAAAAAGAAGGGGAAAAAATCCTGCTTACCACACGTTGAGCCGCTATCAATGCTGCTAATGTACTTCGTCCAGGTGCTCCTGGGGCACAGAAGGAAACCTGGACTTTGCTTCCCTTGACGGTCATGCCATCTGCTGCTTGCTGAACCTCTTCAGCATGCTCTGCAGTGTGATACTCAACCACTGCAAAGCCGCCAACGTAACTACCTTCATCCTGTGCAAGCTGACAATAATACATTTTATTAAAAGGGAATTTTGATGTTGACTTAGAAACATTAACTTACAATAAATAATTTTCAAGTTCAAGAACATTTATACATATTAGCACATGATGCTGATGAAGATAATGTTTTCTTTTTCTATGAAAATAAAACTTTACTCACTGCTCCAATACACTCCTTCCTGAAGACAGGAAGATAAAACAGGGATCTGTCAACTTTTTGATTTTCTAATTTATTTTAACAGTCAATGCTCAAATGATAATAATCACTAAAGAGTAAGAAAAATATTTTTAAGAAAAAAATTTAATTTATAGGAAAACATGGGGACACAATAATGAAAGCTTTCTTTAAAACAAAACTCACTGGATACATGGACAATGAAACACACCAAAGAATTACTGGAACACACGTCAACGTAAAATAAAATCAGTATTTTCAGGAGCAGAAAGGGAGGAGGAAGCATTCAACTTGTAGTTCAGCAGTTTAGGCAGATTCCAGCAATCTGGTCAAGTATACCAGATTAATTTCTGAAAATTGTGTCCCAAGTTTGTTAAAATACCATATGTAACACACAACCTTTATTTCTGAAGGTAACCTAAGTAAATGGCTGCCGTGTAGAACTTGATTTATTTCTAGTCACCCACCTGTAGGAGTGTAAGGGAAGATACTAAAGTCCTGGATCTGTAAAGACTGGCACAAAGAGCAAAAATAAGAACAAAATAAGAAACTACAATGTTTCTAAGTTTTGAACATGTCTAAATCATCTTACATACATTTATGCTCAAAGGGATCAATGTGACAACTTCCAGGTTTGTGTGTCTTTGAGAAGACACACTGACAACACTTCTCTGTGTTTGGCATCTCAGATATTGTTACAAATAAATCGCTTCTTAGTTCTTTTCAGTCTCCTTTATTTTTAAAATGAACTGTCTTCTACTTTCTGGTATACGTAGACCAAATTTCCATCGTTCCTTCATGTGCTTTATTCCCTTTAAAACTGTCTTCAAATGTCTTTGTCTCCATGAACCATTTTACAATCACGTGGGGAAAAGTGAAGATGCATACTCCTTCCCAACAACTCTGTTCTCATGATCCAAGCCAGAACTTCAAACTGGATTTGTAAAGGTCACCAATCCCTTTGGTCTCCTGACCGCAGTGACTGTGTCTTTAACGCTGTCTGTGTCAATTTACCATGCACTAGGCCTCAGTTAACAGGCCCACGGAAAAGAAAGCATTCTGACATTTTTTTAAGTATTTATTTTTTAGTTGTAGTTGGACACAATACCTTTATTTTATTTACTTATCTTTATGTGGTATTGAAGATCGAACCCAGGGCCTTGCTCGAGCTAGGCGAGAGCTCTACCGCTGAGCCACAACCCCAGCCCCGACATTGTTGTTTTAATAATCTTTTTTGAAAACTTTAAAAATACCATTTACTATTTCTGTTTCATTATGATGAGCTTCCTTCCTTCACAATATGTAATATCATTTTAAGTCTTTCAAATGACAAAATCATTTTAACTCCATGGCATCAGTAGTTTTAGAGAAGAATATTTCAGCTCAAAGAAAGCCATTCAAAGATATAATGGTTTGACTTGCAATCTAGTTAATTTTCCACTATTTTGAAGTATTTGAAAAGCTAAATGGTCACTCAAAAATATTACAGCAAACATTTTCTATTAGTGTAAAGCATGACTCAATAATCTAGCTGTAAGGTAGCTGTCAACTCTGGGGTTCATAATTCAAACATAATGAATCATGATTGCCATTTCCCCTCATATTTGCCTCAAAGCCTCAACTAAAGTTATAAAGAACTATGTATGACTACATGATGATATTGCTATAATTCTTAGTCCACAAGAATATCATATCAATAAGGCAATCAACTTTTAATAACTGGACAATGATAAAAGTTTATAATTAGGGGCTGGGTTGTGAATAAGCAGTAGAGATCTTGCCTAGTCTGTGCGGGGTGCTGGGTTCAATCCTCAGTGCCACATAAAAATAAAATAAAGGTATTGTGTCCAACTATAACTAAAACAAAATATATTTTTTTAAAAGTTTATAATAAAATATTCTAATTTTATAAAATTCTTGGATGGTTTCTTTGATGCTTATATTGGGATCGGAGGGGTGGAAATGTAAGAAAAAGGATGGTAGCATTAATCATATTTATGTACATACATATATTACTAAAAACAAAAAAATGTAAAGCCAAAATATATATATATCTGTATCTGCATGATCTTGCTCATATTCAGAATCTAAAAAAGCTGAAATTCTAGAATTAGAGAGCAGAATGATGGTTAACAGCAGGTGAGACAATTGCAATGTGTGATTGAAGAAATGCTGGTTAAAAGATACAAAACTCAAAGAGATAGGAAGAATAAGTTCACTGTTGCACAACATGGTGGCTATAGTGGACAATGTATTATTGAAAAATGGTAAGAGAGTGGATGTTTAGTGTTCTTATAACAAAAAATGACAATCACGGGAGCTGGCAGTGTAGCTAAGTGGTAGAATGTTTGCCTGGCATGCACAAAGTCCTGGGTTCAATCCCCAGCATTGCAAAATAAGTAGATAAACAAATATTTTTAAAAAATATTTTAAGTAATGCATATTATAATTAGCTAGATTTACTCACTTCGTAACATATATATACTTTAAGATATCATGTTATACATGATGAACATATGTAATTTTATCTGTCAAGTTAAATACACACACGCACTCTCCAATTTCAAAATTTCTATTGCAATAGTAAGAATTCAACAAATGTAAGATTAAAGGAAAATGGGAAGAAAAAAGAGGGAAGGAGGGAGGGAAAAGAGCATGGAAGGAAAGGGAAGGTGGTAAAAAAGAAAAAAATGAAGACAAGGAACAGGAATAATTGATCAGTTGCTATCAAAACTCAGGAAGGGAAGGAGTTTTTACACGGTATATATTCTCTCTATTTACTATTATAAAGCACTTGACATTTCTCACCAGTGCTGTTAGTTTTCAGGATCTTCTCTAAATGTCTCACCTCCATGACTCCATTAAGATATACTTTTAAACTTCATGATACTTTTCTATACTCCATTATACCACTCTTCGTACATCATGTGCAATTACTTGCCTACTTGTCTTTCTCCTCTACAGAATTTTGAGGGAGGGAGGGAGGGAGGGGGGGGGGGAGAGAGAGAGAGAGAGAGAGAGAGAGAGAGAGAGAGAGAGAGAGAGAGAGAATATCCTTCTATTCTCTGCATTTTGGGCACTTGGCATAGAATCTGGCACAGAGAAAGTACTAACTTAAGAGTTGGATAAACAAATGGATGAATCAACACATGGCTGGACAAATGGATGGGATGAGGAGGGGAATGAGCAAGCCATGGATTTGCTAAGGCATACTTAACTACACACAGTATAGTTTGGCCCTTGAACAGAAGGAATTGACTTAAAATTTCACATGTGATTAAAGTCTTCCTTATAGACTAGAACAGAATCAAATTATCCATTGTAATATTCACACAGGTATGAAAAATAAATGTTTGAGTTTACACAGGAGATATATACACAGATATTTCTAGGTGATCTCCTAAAAATACATACCTGGCAAAACACAGGCTTGTGGATACTGGAAAAAAATTGCAATAGCTCTTCTGAATCCCTGTAGTCACTAGGGAGTTTATCTATACAAAGGCACTTAGAATGAATGAGCTCTGAGGCCAATAGATTAACATCCATCCATTGTGCAAAGAGTGCTGATGCTCCCAACTGTTTACCCAATAGTTCCAATCTAGCCTTTGCAGCAAAGTCCTTTTTCATGTATTCCACAAATCCATAGCCTTTGGAATGGCCAGTAACTTCACTGTAGACCAGAAAACATCTCTCAATATTTCCGTAAGTACGAACAAGTTCTTCAAACTCTTCTAACGTGAAAGAAATGGGCAGGTTGGTAATACACAGCAAAGCATCGGTGGGCTGGAGTTGAACTATCAAGTCTTTGCCTCGAAAAGAATATTGATGAAACATCTGAATTGCACTCTGGGCTTGTTCTCCATTCAATAAGGTAACAAAAGCTGGAAGATAATAATAAAGTGAATTAAAGAGTTTTCTAGGCTAGTGTTTTCCAATTTTTTTACTGTGACCCACAGTAAGAAATCCATTTTATGTTCACACACAGTTTTTCTGAAACATAATTATCATGAAATTATACCCCTGTTATATGAAAAGCACAAAGCACTAATTTTTTAAAGTTCTATTTCACAGTTTTCTTAATGCTGACATCTCACTAAACTACTTCCATGGTCAGTTGTTCAAATAGAAAGTATGGAAATTATATTAGGAGTTCCATTGTAAAGTCCTACCATATTCTAAGAGTTTTGTTTTTTTTTTTTTTTTTTTGGTAATCTCCTCCAAAATATAGAGATATAATTTTTCCCTAACAATTTGTGATACAAAAATCTTATGAAGTCTTCATAAAAAACAAAAACAAAAAACCACAAAGGTATACCAAAAAGACCAACTGCCCAGAGGAGGAGAGCCAGTTCTCACTAACTCATGTATGTATTTTCTTAAAATAAGATTACTTAGGTTGAAACAATTCACAAATGTATATAATTTGGTATACTTTTATGAATAATATCTAATGAAAAGATCACATGATTTTGATCTTAGACAAATAGCCTAGTTTTAAATTTGATAAAACAATAAAAAACTGTCCTCTCTACCTAATGAAATCATTCCAGCACCAAACAACAAATTGATATGATAATTTATACAATATAGCTAGGTATGGTAGAGATCCAATCTACTAAGGAGGCTGAGGCAGGAGGATCATAATTTGAGGCCAGTCTCAACAACTTAGCAAAAATTTTGTTTTAAAATAAAAATTAAGAAAGGGCTGGGGTGTAGCTTAATGGTAGAGCCCCACTAGGTTCAATCCCTTGTACCATCCCCCCAAAGTAATTTAAACACAAGGTTCTAAATCAATGAAAAAAAAATCATACAATGTGTGTCTATTAAAATTTTAGGGCTGGGGATGTGGCTCAAGCGGTAGCGCGCTCGCCTGGCATGCGTGCGGCCCGGGTTCGTTCGACCCTCAGCACCACATATAAACAGAGATGTTGTGTCCGCCGAGAACTAAAAATAAATAAATAAATATTAAAAAAATTTTTAGCCATGTTAATTATCTATTTATCTAATAAAGTAAAAATATTTTGAGCAACTTTCTAAGAAAATTGGAAAGCCCCACATTAAAAGAAATAACACAGGACAATCCATAAGTTACAAATAAGTTGCTCTAAAGAAAGTTCCTCCGGGGGCTGGGGATGTGGCTGAAGCGGTAGTGCGCTAGCCTGGCATGCGTGTGGCCCCGGTTGGATCCTCAGTACCACATACAAACAAAGATGTTGTGTCCGCCAAAAACTAAATAATAAATATTAAAAATTCTCTCTCTCTCTCCCTCCTCTCTCTCTCTTAAAAAAAAAAAAAAAAGAAAGTTCCCCCCTCTCCCACTCTATTGGAAATATACAGTGGAGTTGCTCTATATAAGCATTTAATTTACCCAAATTCAATTAGAACAGCATGATAATGAGTTGTATATAGAAAATATGTATAAAGCAAGAAAGGAAGAAAGAATTTAAATAGCCTGGGTAATTCTGCCTGTCATTTCAATCTGTTCTTCCCTCAGCTGGTCTTCGTGCCCACGGAGGTGGCTCGCAGTGTGAGCATCTCACCACACTGAGTATGAAGCTAACATTTAAAAAACACATCTTTCATTTAACATGGTCTCCAAATGCAAGGAAATCATTGCCAACGGAAGAGCCAATGCTTTCAACACTAGAGAAAAAATAGCTTTGCCATACTTATTGAGAGAATATCTCTTGGTTTCCAACACCCTTTTTAAATGGCTTAAGTTATTTTGATTCTGTATCTTTTTTCACCTCTTATGCTGATATAAAATATCATCTAACTCAATTTCCTTAAAACATGCAAATAAGTCAACTGACAGTTTGTAAATACTGGTTATGTTCCTAATATCAGCCATAAAATCATTAGCTCATGTGTTACTTGAATTCTCAGGACATTTGGAACTGTTTATTATTCCCCCTGCCTTTTTTTTTTTTTTTTTTTTTTTTTTTGGTACTGGGGATTGAACTAAGGGGCACTCAACCACTGAGCCATATCTCCAGCCCTATTTTGTATTTTATTTAGGGACAGGGTCTCACTGAGTTGCTTAGCACCTCACTTTTGCAGAGGCTGGCTTTGAACTCGCAATTCTCCTGCCTCAGCCTCCCGAGCTGATGGGATTATAGGCATGTGCCACTCACCCTGCTAACATTCCCTTTATTAATTTCCTTGGTATACTCTTTCTTGGGTCATACATGGGTAAACTGTCTGAGTACTCCTTCCTCTGTTTCCTTTGTTACATCTTTCTCCTCTGTGCATAGCTTCAAGGTAGCTCTCCTTTTTGTTCTTCCTGGCAGATTCACACACAGAAATACCTGTGTGCCTGTATCCAGCAGCTTCCAGCCACTGAGTCCCTCTTCTCTCCTGCTACACCTTCTTTCCTTGGGGCAATCGAGTCTCCTCCCATTTATTCAGTAGTATGTGACAAGTACCATGTTAGGCACCCAATGCACTGGTGAATAAAACAGGTACGATTCCTTTCAACATAGAGCTTACACTCTAATAGGGACACGAAACACTTAACAATGAGTTACAAAATGTGGTGTCATCAGAGAGGAAGTAGGAAGGACCATGGGAGCAATTTAATACAGCAAATAACACAGTCTGGAAGCCCAAGAGGGCATCCTATACTCTAATAATTCCCAAACCAATGTCAATGTTTTTAATCTTCAGTTATACACACACACACACACACACACACACACGCACGCACACACACATGCACACACCGGACTGTCCAAACATTACTAATGATCTTCATCTTATTGCCACCAAGAAAAATGAAAACAAAAACTCAATTACTGCTCCTCTTCCTTTGTTCCTTATTCTAGCTGGTGACCTAACACTCCCAAATCCGAAACCGGGAATCCCCCTAGACTTGTCTCCTTCATCTCCCGCATAAAAAGTTCTCGAATTCCACCCTTATTCAATAGGTCTTGAATCCATCCTCTTTTCTTTGTTCTTCTAGTTTTTCCTCTTTTTAATCCTTTTTTCACAGATGACAATACAGCACTCTCAAAAACAGGAGCTTAATTGTGTCTGTTTACTGCCCGAACTGCAATGGTTTGGTATTACCAACGGCAGCCGGAGCCCAGCTCAGCCAACAAGCCCTTCTAGCGAAGCCTTCCCCAGTTTGACTCCAGCCTCGATAACTGCCCTAGTCCCTCCCCTTCCCACACTGTTCTTTATTCTCTGACAATACTGAATTATTTGCAGGTCCTGTAAACATCAGGTTGTTTCAGGCATCTTATACATTACACATGTAGTTCATCTTGCTACAAGATCCTTCGCTGTATCTTCAGCTACTTGGTTGAGTTTCAAATTCAGCCCAGGGACTGCTGCACCATGGCTTCCAGGAAGCCTTCCCTGAAACTCTCTCCCAGCCAAAGTTCGCCGTTCCTGGTTTTCCGATACCTGTGCATTTTGAACTTTGCTTGAATCGTTGCATAAATTACTATGACTGTATCCCCACCAACTGCTGCAGTCATGACACCTAGATAAATGAATAAATGCATGCATCCATAGAGTGACAATATATTTAAAAACTGACAATCTCTTATTTTTTCTTCTCCTTTGGGGATCTGCATTTACTCAACCCAAATAAAAGATTTTATGGTAGAAACTAAATGTCATAAGCAAATTTAAAATTTCAAGCAGTAGGAAAAAAGGTCACTTTTGTTCTTATATAGCTTCTTCCATGTTTTTCAAAGATCATAAATTCACTAAAAGCAATAATTTTTTTTTCTCACATTAACTCTGGTCGAAGTGGCAGATGTCATTTTAAAGAGAAAAGCTTGTAAGGGATTTTAGGATTAATTCTCTTACGCTTTTCCTGTGTTAAATATTCCACAATTGGTCCCAACTCTTAAGACAAGTCATTGCTTGCTCACTATTAACTCATTATTGGGATAAATTTGATGGAAAGCATGCCACACATTTTCCCCTAAAGTATCCTATTTTAGTTTAGTATGGCACTACCCCACTTGGTGCTGGGCTTGAACCCAGGGCTTCACAAATGCTAGATAAATACTCTACCCCTGAGCTACATCCCCAGCCCTCATGTTTGTATTTTAATACAATAATTTCCTCATATCTACTATAGAAAGCTCTGGTTGATAGGTTATAGTTTATAAGTGTCAGCATCTTTTATCAATCTACTTATTAATTATATGTTTCTACAGATACCATCATTGCTACTGAAATCCAAGGAAACACCATTTAATACAATTAATGCATTTCTTTGTTGTGTTATTTTAGTGGGTGACTTAGGGCTTACAGTGCATCTTCAACCTATCACAGTCTACTCTCAAGTAATATTATACACTTCATGTACAGTACAGGAGCTTGACAACAGTGTACTTCCATGTCCCCCACACCAGTCTTTGTATTATCGCTATTACACATCTTATTTCTGCATGTGTTATAAATTTCAAAATAGTGTTATTTCTACTCTAAAAAGTCCGTTATCTTTTACATAGACTTAAATATTAAGAAAAAGTCTCTACCCACATAATGACCATATCTGGTATTTGTGTGTGTGTGTGAGTGTGTAGTTCCAGATTTTTGTCTAGTATCATTTTTCTTCCTGCTTGAAGAACTTTCTAAAATATTTCCTACAATGCATGTTTGAAGACAATTACTTCAATATTATTGTATGACTGAAAAATATATTTTACCCTCATTTTTAAAAGATTTTCAATGGGTAAAGCATTCTATACTATTTTTATTTTCAACAAAGGAAAAAAAAGTTGTCCTTTGCTCTTCTCATTTGTATGGTTTCCTTTGTGTCATTTCCTGTGATCATCTTTATCTTTGTTTCTCTAAACATCTTTTCCCTCCCTGCTTTTAAGATTTCTTCTTTATTGTGAATTATAAGCAATTGATTGCAATATGCTTTGTAGTCCTCTTTATACATTTGTGCTTGGGGTTAAGTTTATCAGCTTAGAATTTTCATCAAATTTAGAAAATTTTCAGCCATTAATTCTTTATATGCTTTTATCTGTTTTCCCATTGCCACCACCAACCCTTTTGGGAATTCTAATTACTCCAGTATTAGGACTCTTGAAGTTGTCCCACAGTTCACTTATAAAATAGTTCATATGTTAGTCTTTTTTATTCTTTGTTTCATCTTTGATAGTTTCTTTTGTTACCTTTAAGTTCACTAACCTTTCCTCTGCTATGTCTATCCCACTGCTAAATGTAGTTTTCATCTTTGGGACTATGATTTGGTAAATTTTTAAAAATTTTAAAAATCTACTTCACATGCTCAATCCTTATTAGAACTTCTTATACCTATAGAACACAGTTATAAAAACTGGCTTAATGTCCTTCATTAATTTATCTGCATCAATTCCAGGTCAGTTTTGAGTAATGTTTCTCCTCATGATGGTTTGTACTTTCTTTTCTTTTTAAAAATCTTTTTAAGTTGTAGATGGATACAATATTTTTATTTTATTTATTTATTTTTATGTTGTGCTAAGGATCGAAGCCAGTGCCTCATATGTGAAAGGCAAGTGCTCCACCACTGAGCTACAACCCCAGCCCCAGTTTGTTCTTTCTTGCTTCTCTGCTATGTCTGATCATTTGTTGTTGTTGTTGGGATGCCAGACATTGTACATTTGGTCTTGTTTGAGTGCTAGATACTTCTGCATTTATATAAATACTCTTGAGTTTTGTTTTAGGGTATGGTTACACTTTTGGGACACAAGTGGATCTTTCCTGGTTGTACTTTTAAATTTTGCTAGCTAGGTAGAGAGTATCATTCGTCTAGAGGGAATCTTCCTCCCTCCTGAAGCAAAACCTTTCTCATTTCTCCTAGTGCTGCATGAATTATGCAGTATATTATTCTGGCTGGTGACAACACTTCTCCTGTCCCCATGAGCTGGAAGACTGTTATCTTTAATCCTTTTATCAATATCCAGTGACACTAAAATTTTGTGTAACCTACGAGGCAGCACTTTAAGTGTAGAGAAACAGTTGCAATGCACACTAGAAACAGGTATTGCAACATTGTTTGTAATACTCAATGCCTATTAGAAATGGATATACATCAATTGTGATAAATTCATGTGACAATATGTAGCAGTTTAAATCAATGAACTAGAGTTATATGTATCAACATGGAAAGATCTGAAAAGCAATGTTGAGTAAAAAGAACAAAAAAAGCAAAATGCCAAATGAAACATTTAGAATACCATTTATGTAAAGTTAAAAAAAGAACAATATCATTAATTATGTCTAGATATAGTAAAATTACATGTATTAATCAAGATACTGTGATCTCAATGGTATAACAAAAGGTTTTATTTTTGCTCATGCTGCATGTCCCATGTGAAGGTTTACCAAAAAAAAAAAAAAAAAGGCTTTGCTCATTAAAGCCACACTGGGACTTGGGTTGAAAAAGTTCTATGACCTTTCCCAATAACTTGGAAGTGGGATGCGCAAGCAGTTAATCACATGGTGTCTCTGAAGCCTTCTACCTAGAAGGCATACATGCCATTTTCACTCATTGTATTTATCAAAATGCAAATTGCATGTCCATTTTGACCTTCAAAGAGGGACAGGTAAATACTATCTTATCTCATGCCCAGAAGAAAAAGAACCACCTGTGAACAGCTCTACTGACTACCACAATGTAATGCACAAATTGAAAAGTAGGTATCTAATTCTTGAGTGCTTGCCCCCAGGTAAGGAGAGATGGAGGTATAGAATTGAGCATAATAGAAACTGAATTTCATCTTTATATGCAATGTTCTTTTTTACTGTTATTTTTAAAATCTGAAATAATTCAATAGATCTATATCAGGGTTCTAGCATGTATATCTCCCCCCACCCCGAAATCTTACCTGTTCGTTTATTTCTGTCCACGTAACAATACTTTAACTCATAATCTTTTAACAAATCATGAACTTCCTGAAAAAGAAAAACAAACAAACAAACAAACCATGAATTCAATAAGCACCCAAATTCAGTTGGTGGCTAATGTAGCTTGACTAGCCTACCCCAACTACAAAAAAAAGAAAACTTTTCTGAATTCTCCCTAGTACTTATTTAAATTAAAGATAGGGAAGGCCCAAAAGATATGGCACTAGCCTGAGCATCCAAATATATATCCCCCAATGCAACCCCTCCACATAGCCATGTTCCTGTTCAAATGGTACATTTATGGTCTCATGAGTGTATGAGGCACTGTCTTCATTCTGAATTTCTGCTTACACTTATGCCTTGATCTAGCATGGGGTAAACAAATCACTAAAGTTCACTAACTTTGTCTAAAAAAACATGCATACTTTGAAATTCCAGTTCACATGTTCTTTCATGAAGAACATTTTCCATAGACTGTGACGTCATTCTTCTTGATGCTAACAATAGTCATAACTTTATCCCTCTTATGGAAATGAACATTATATTTCTTTCTATTTATGTATACTACATACAGAGGTTTTAACAATACACCTGCAAATTTTTGTAGTATGAACACACAGAATAAATATACATTGCATTTCTTATAATAAACCACTTGTAGATTTTTAAATTAGAAATCCCTTGTTATAAATCAAATAACAACCATTGAAGTAGAGTATGTAGTTTTGATATATTTCTCTTGGGCAGCTAATAGTACTTGAATACAGGAACTTTATTTCATGTATTTATATATTACCTGCATTGCTTTACATAAAACAGGCAAATATACATTAAAGTACATGTATTTGAATTGATATATGGCCTTAAAGATTTTTGTTCATAATATATAACAAATTCAAAGGGATTAGACTATCACATAGGTGGACGTTTAGACCCCACATTGGAAGCCAGGTGGTGGCACACACAAGTAATCCCAGCAGCTCAAAAGGCTAAGGCAGGAGGATGGTGGTTCAGACCCTACATTGAAGAGTTACAACCAACCCATTCTATATAATGACTAAAAATACACAGGTGTTTATATAAGTACATAACCTAAATCCTTAATTCAGTAACAATGATTCTTATTACTGATATTATTACAGTTAAAACTTATTTAGCTTTCATTAGGTATAAGGCACTGAATTTGTTTCGAGATTCATCACGGTTGGGCTGCAGGGGCCCCCTCTAGCCTTCTATGGCACATTGTCTTACTCTTTCCAGTGTAAACTTTAAAAATAGCACACTACCATCTACAGTTACAGAAACAATTATTTTTAGTTACTTTGTGAGATTTTTGTCCCACCCCCCAACCCTGGTTTGAGGGTTTTTTTTCCCCTTCTTTCTTTTGTTCTTCTGTAAATGAAATGATTGTAGAATTGATTTTTGTGGGAATTCTAAAAGCTCTCTAAAACATTTCTGCAGCCTTTTTAAGCCTCATTCACAGAAGTACATGAAAGCACACACAGAGCCACAGGTTTCAGCAGTTTCAGTGCCACAGTTATATCAATTTTGGGGTCTCCTGATGAATCTTCTTTTTTTTTTTAAAGTGTGTACATAGATACTTCTTAAGATATAAAAGGGGCTGTGAACTAACTATGGTGTCTACTAAGTAGAATTTTGTGCTGGGAGGAATTGGAATTTTGTGTTTTCCCATCTGCATTCAGCCTTCTCCTCTGGGTTTTGAACCTAAATGGTTTTTCTTTCCAAATCCTCTCTTACCGGAGCTGGGCATTGTGGCACATGCCTGTAATCCCAGCGGCTTGGGAGGCTGAGGCAGGAAGGTCTTGAGTTCAAAGCCAGCTTAAGCACTTAGATAGGCCCTAAGCAACTTAGCAAGACCCTGTCTCTAAATCAAATATATAAAAAGGGCTTCAGTAGATGAATGGACAAAGAAAATGTGGTATATATACACAATGGAATATTATTCAGCATTCGAAGAGAATAAAAACATGGCATTTGCAGGTAAATGGATTGAGTTGGAGAATATAATGCTAAGTGAAGTTAGCCAATCCCCCCACAAAATATGCCAAAAGTTTCTTCTGATTTAAGGATGCTGATTCATAATGTGGTTGGGGAGGGGTGTGTGGCATGGGAGGATTAGATAAACTCTAGATAGGGCAAAGGTGAGTGAGGGGAAGGCTGGGGGCTTGGGGTGAGAAAGACTGTAGAATGAGATGGATGTCATTACCGTAAGTGCATTATGAAGACACAAATACTATGACTCTGTGTACAACCAGAGATATTTTAAATTGTGTTCTATATGTGTAATATGAATTGTAATACACTCTGTTGTCATATATAACAAATTAAAATAATTTTTTAAAAAAAAAAGGGGGGGCTGAGATGTTGCTCAGTGGTTAAGCACCTCTGAGTTCAACCCCTGGTACCAAAAAAAAAAAAAAAAAAAAATCCCCTCTTACCACTTTGAATTCTGCTGACTGTACCTCTCAAACATATTTATGATAATCTGCACATTATAAGAAAAGGTAAATTTTATAAGTTTATGCTCTGCTAATTATATATATTTATTACTGTATGACTCATTTATTTTTGTAACCACCTGTGGTCCATCCTTTGTTTTAATTCACACTTCGTACTAATGATGGTGTTGTGGAGGGAGACACTGAGATTAGGAAATTAATTTGTACTATTTCAGCCCATCTGTGAATGTAAAAACTTCCCTGTTGCCTTGCTGTGGTCCACCCCACCTGGTGTGGGACTGATAAATGACTGTCTTGACACTCACCCTTGGGACGGCATGGAGCTAACTCTCTGGTTCTTTCATTTCACCCTTAACAACAGCACAGCCTGTGGGGGGTGTTGGGGCGAGGTACCAGTATGCAAAGGGAACTCTGGTTTTTCCACTGGTTCTGATCTGCTGCCCATTTACTAACATGTGTACTGTATTTGCTTACAGACTGTAGGTAGACGTATAATGTAAAGCTTGGTTTAATAAACATTTAACTCTTCCAAAAAAAATAGTCATTTAATTATAAGAGCAACTCTCATAAAAATAATCTTAAGAACAGCATAGAAGGGGAAAATAAGAGGACAGACACAAGTTCAGAAATATTTTTTCTTTTTAACCCAGTGAAAGAGGAAAAGAAGAGTGATATAATAGGCAAAGGATAAAAGTATAACATATACCTAATTAAAATTAATTTAAAAAGAATAAAAATATAAAGCTGGATTTTAAAAAATCACCTATCATGTGAAAATTAAAGAAGATTATTTAGTAATGCTTATTAATAAGTTGAATTATAAATGTTTTAAAATGTGTACATGTATCAATTTTTAAAATATTGTTTGCTGATGCATATGGTACTATAATCAATATGCAGATTATTTTATTACTATGGTAACTTCTTATCTTGTATGCTTCAATGTTTTTCTTGGACTTACAAAAACACATAGTGTATTCTTCATTAAGAGAAACATAACTTCTCAGTAGCATAACATAATACATCTTGCCAACAGACTAATACTTTATGCAGAAGGTTTTGTTTGAAGGGATCCAGTGTATTCTTTTAGTTGCACAGAATCTAATCGTCTTTTCACTGGTGAACAGCTGTCAAGTGTGAGATAAAGAAAACATGATACTGCTCTTCCTATTATCACGTTTCTATAAACAAATGACATGTTATGCTACTCATTTAGCTAAAAGAATTACTTAAGAGAAAGCTTCAATATTCAAAGGCATATTTTGGAACTTAGAAATTTTATTTTGAAACCATTCAATATTTTTAATCATAGCTTTTCTAGGCATCAGATGTGGGATACAAATTTGCCAACTGAGAAAATTTGCAAAGCTTCCTACAAAGAAAAAAACCCAATTACTTTTTCTCTCCATGCCCTGGTTGTTTTGACCCAGGCAAAAGTGGGTCACCCCTCAATTTGAGCCCTGGTAAGTTGGCCAAATTAAAAACTTAAAACCTGAAAGAGAGTCCTAAAAACCATTTGCCAGTATTCTACCGTGCTCTGCCACAAAGAACTGAAAGAACTACAATTATAGCTCCCTATCACTGATCTGGCTTTATGACATTTCTATCATTTTACAAACTAATTTTAAAGCAGTTCCTTTGATTAAAAACTCTTTGTCCTCTGACCAGCAATATCATTTATGAATTTCCTAAAGCAAGAGAAGTTTAACAAAATTGATATTAATTTTAATAATATAATTCCAGAGAGGATTTACCACCACTCCCTGAAGTTAAACAAAAAGTTTTGCCCATGTACAATGTTTTCTTTCAATGACACCCCCACCTCCCTAAAAGTTAACCATTGTTCTGGCTGGCCTGTCCTTCTTTCTAAATGAAAGTTGGCCTTAGCTAGAAACCTGAATCGAATTGTCATCTCACCCCTTCACACACTTGGTTTTTATTATTAGAACAAGGCTTTCATACATTAAAGTACACTACGTTTAAACCCCACTGCTTTGGATTTGAAGAAGGCAACAGATATTTTTGTTAATTTTGTTTAAAAATATTAAGTAACTTGATAATTTAAAAAGATTATCTGAAATGCAAAATTATGAGACATAATAATAAAACAGATATCCAGTAACTCAAGATCTAGAAGGCGGAGGATGGGAACATGGGTACCACCGTTGTATCCCCCTTCCAATCCCATCTCTCTGCTTCCCCCCTTACACAGGAGTGTATTTTATGTAGATATGGATCCCCAAACAATATACTGTTTTGTATTACTTATTTTTTGAGCTTTATAACAATGGTATAATCCTTTTTAATCTTCTGTGCCTTGATTTTTATAATCAATCTTTGTTGCTAACATTCACTCACATTTCATGTGGTTGTCACTCATTTATTCACAACAGTTCTATATTTCATTCAATACCTCTAGTACGACTTATGTCTCCATTTTTCTTTCAATGAATATTTGTTTTGCTTCACCATTTTTAAAAATAAAACTCTATTGCATTCTTGTAAATATTACTTATCTCCTGGCTTTCATACACAAAGGGTTTTCAAGGAGCAAAATTCTTGGACTGT